CCACCATCCACCCATCCATCCCCCATCCATCCCATATCCATCCCCCACCATCCACCCATCCATCCCCCATCCATCCACCCATCCATCCCATATCCATCTCCCACCATCCACCCATCCATCCCCCATCCATTCCATATTCATGCCACACTCATCCATCTGTCCATCCCCCACCCATCCTCTATTCATCCTCCACCCATTCCTCATCCATCCCCCACCCATCTATCCACCCATCTCCCACCCATCCCCTATTATCCCCCATTCATCCACTCATCTCATCCACCCATCTCTGCATACAACCACCCATTAGGACATCAGAGGATGGAGAAACCAGAGAGGCTGGTATGGCTGAAGGATGTGGAGGAGAAGCACCGTAGCGGGCCTCACAGCATGGGGAAGATGCAGACGTGAGATGGGAGACCAGCAGTGTGCTCACTGAGAGGCAGGCATAGGCAGGTATGGGTAAGGAATAGCATGTGGTGGGAAACAGGCAGTGAAGAGCTGACAACAGAGGCCAGGAGGCTGGAAGGTGAGCAGAGCCCTGCTGTCAGGCGCTTAAAACCAAGACACGCAGGCTTGGTCTAAAGGCTATTAGTGGGAAGGGGCTGGCAGTGATGAAGGCCACTCCTGGGCCCATCCTTGTCAGCCTGAGCAAGCTCTGGCTGGCCCATGCTACCCTCACCTGACACCTGCTTCCTGCCTCTGGCCTCCACCTTGCAGGTGTGTATCAGGTGCACACCAGGCAGAGGCATGTGGAGGGGGCTGCAGGGAGGGGGTGCCAGGCAGGGCTAGAGCAACAAGGGCAGAGGCCACACTGAACCTGGGTCTTAAGGGTCCCCAAGGCTGGAGCTGGGTGGCTTATGTAAACCCCCGAGGCACAGCCAGGACGTGGGGCTCATCAGAGGGGCAGTCTGAGCTAGTGGGAAAGGCCTTCTCTGCAGAGCTGTCCCAGGGCCACAGGACATGGCTGGGGAGGGGTGAGTTCCCCAGTGTTGGAGGTGTGCAAGCAGAGGGCAGGGCCATCATCCTCAGACAGAGCTCCCAGATCCAGCTCCCTGCCCGCCTGCCATGTTCCTGCCAGCTGCCTCCCCACTGGGCCCTGTACCACCTTCCTGACTCACACGGCCGGTTCCTCCACCGCCCAGAAGCCATTGCCCAAGGGGCTGGGTATAAACCCTTGCTGTGAGGCCGGCTGCCTCTCACTGCTCCTGAGCACGGAGGAATGGCGTCTCGCTGGGCTGTGCAGCTGCTGCTCGTGACAGCCTGTAGCATGGGCTTTGGTGAGTGGGCCGCATGCTGGTGGGGACCCTGCCTCTGAGCTTGTCTGCCCACTGCCTAGGGGGCTGGGGCTGTTGGGGGCGCTTTGTGGCTGAGGGCCTCCTTAGGTGTCCATGGGGCTCACCCCCCTCATTCTCAGTGAGCCTCCTGGCTTCCAGAGCCCAGCTTCACCCTGGGACAGGGGTCATGACTCCATTCTGCAGGAAGGGAGACTGAGGCTTGGTGGAGGGATGTGGCATTCAAGTCTGTGGCTCAGCCAATGGGGCCTTGAAGGATGTCAGTGGGACTCCTTAAGCCCAGCCTCCTCCTGGTTCCGGGTTGAGGCCCCCGAGGCCACACGATGAGTTCTACCTCCACCCCTCGCCCAGGTGAGGCCTTGAGGTGCTACACCTGTGAGCAGCCCACAGACCCTGCGTTCTGCAAGAACATTACCTACTGCAAGCCAAAGGACACAGCCTGCACGACCAAGCTGGTGATGGTGGAGGCAGGTGAGGCCCGGCCCGCGGCAGCCCTGGGTGCCCTGGAGTCAGGGCCACGGCCCCCGAGTGCCTCCCTCCTTTGCTGGTGCTCCTCTCGACCCAAAAGGCAGCAGGTGGGCAGGGCAGGACAGGCTGCCACCCCTTAGAAGGGGTGCCTTCCATCAGGGTGGCACAGCCCCCTGAGATCCAGTCCTGGGGCACCAGGCGCTGGTGGTGGGTGGGGCTTAAAGGCCGGGGTCCCCTGTGGGGCTCAAACCCCAGCTCTGGCACAGACCCAGTAGGTGCTGTTGCCACAGCTTCTGGGCTCGGGCTGCCATCTCGGGGCGGGCACTGAAGTCCGACAAGGCCTGGTGTTATAATTCATAAACAGGTCATGGCAGGAGGAGGCTGGGCCTGGGAGGCTTCACAGATCTGAGCCATTAGGAATGGGGGATCCCAGGGAGGGCAAGGTCAGGGCATGGTTGGGAGCAGCGCAGCGGCAGGCAGGCGCTGAGGCGGGTGTGTGTTCTGACGCTGGCCCACCCTGCAGAGTACCCCTTCCAGCAGACACCCATGGTGACCCGCTCCTGCTCAAGCTCCTGCATCGCCACTGACCCCGACAGCATCGGGGATGCCCACCTGATCTTCTGCTGCTTCCGAGACCTCTGCAACTCAGAACTCGGAGCCTAGGGCGGCAGGGTGGAAGGCGCTCCTCAGGCGCCTCCTGTCCGACGGGGCCTGGCTCCGCCTGCGTCACCTCCCCCTGCTTCCTGCTGCTGGAGCACAGCTCACTCAAGGGGTCTGAGAGGAGAGAACCACACCAGGGGCGCCCTCTGCCTTCCACACCCCAAACTTATAAAGACAAATTAACCGAGAGTGGAGATGACCACTGTCCTTCCTGGGCATCAAGACCCCGCAGCACCGGCCTTTGGGAGAGCCAGGCTGAACACACCACATTCTAGGCGCCTGCCCCTCCCTCTCACCCAGAGCCCCTGTGACCCATTTCACAGACAGGAAAACACAGACGGGCGAGGAATGCCTCCAGGGCCCCTTTCCTGCTGCAAACTAGCCTGGCGTCTCAGATCAGAGCCTGTTCTCTAGCCCAGGGACCTTCTCCCCGATAAGACTCTCCCCTCAAACCCCGGAGGCTTCACTCTCCGCCTAGGGCAGAAAGGAAGCTCAGATTTGGAATCCGCTTTCCTCCAAGGGTGGATACATCTGGCTCTGCCTGCCTAGCCCAAGGGGTCTTCCTGGGTGTGTGCACCTGGGCCTGCTGGAATCACACAGCTCCAGGGTTCCCGTCACCTCCTGCCCGCAGTCCCCTTGGGACACAAGAGGTTAGCTGAGGAGCTGGGGGTCCTTGTGGCCCCGAAGACCTGGCTTTCAGGATCCTCTCCCCCTCTGCATGGCCCTGGCTGTGCCGTCACAGTCACAGTGCTCTGTGCCATCGTCAGGAGGTGGGCAGAGCCAGCAGTAGCACGGGCTGCTGTGGGCCTGAGACACCCCCAGATGCTGTCCCTCTCCAGGCCCCAGTTCCCCTGGTGTCCTCCAGGCTGCACACCTTCTAAGCACTGCCCAGTTGGTCTCAGGTTCTAGGGCCCCACAGGTCAGCTGGGCCATGCCTGTGGGGTGGGAGGGGCATGCAGCAGGCAGTGATCTGACCCACCGGGGATCCCCGAGAGCATGCAGGAGTAAGCAGGGCGCTGTCTGGGGCCACCCAGGACCCCTGTGAGAGCTCATCTCTGTCTATGAAGGGCCCAGATGTCAGAACCCACCCCGACCTCTACACCCTCCCAGAAACACCAGGAATTAAATGCAATCTTTGGGGTGCAGCCCAGACCAGAGAAAGCTCCCAGAGATGCCCCCTGGAAGGGATCTCCAGGGCCTCCCCGCTAGCCAGCACGGGGTTTGCGCTTGGCTTCCTGTTAGGGCCGTCCCCTGGGTCATGGCCGGACCTCCAAGGGCCTCATCGGGGCCTGGATTGGAGCCAAGTGGCCAGGGCCTTGGCCTCACCAGAGGGAGGGAGCAAGAAGTCGCCACTTCTCTGGGCCTAGGTGTCCCCAGCAGAGCCATGGGGATGAGGCCTTCGGGCTCTGCCCAGCTCAGTGGGGAAAGGCTGCGGGGTGGGGTGGAGTGCCCCCATCCCTGGGAAGGCAACTGCGGGGGTGTCCCCGGCTCTGAACCCGCGAGGACAGCAGAGGGCGCGCGCCGGGTCCTGCAACCCACGCCGCGAGGTCTGCAACCCACGCTCTCCCAGAGCGTGCAGCGCGAAGATGCAGGGACCCAGTGCGCTCTGCCCGGAACCCGCCCTGGGAGCGCGGCTGGGCCTTCTGACTCCCAGGGGACTGCGGCACAGAGTTAGAAAGCCTTGACCCTCTCTGCCGGCCTGGGGGACGCCCGCCTGCCCCGCCTGTCGCCACGACCTTCCAGCAGATGCGACTTCGGAAGTTGGGGAGGCGACGGTCCGGCGGCAGGGAACCCGGGTGGGCGCGCCCATGGGGCGGGGCCTGCAGGGCCATTCGCTCACCACCCGGGCGCGTGAGGTCTAGGGAGGGGAGTGCGTGCCCATCCGTGACTGCCCCAGGAAGTAGGGGATGCTGGCAGGGAAGCAGCCAGCCGCAAGAGGCGGCAGTGGAGGGAGGGAGAGGGGCACCCACCTGGGCCGCTAGGCCCTCCTGAACCCCACTACCGCAGAGAGGTCAAAGGAGCCTACTCTTCCGCTGCTTTAAGAAATCTCTAAAATAAAGGAGAGGGGTGTGCAAACTGCAGGGCGTCCCTCCCCGCCCTTGAGCAAGATCCTCCACCTCCCCAAGGATGCCCCAAACTAGCAGGTGTCCAGAGAGAAAGTCATGCGGGGAGCAGCCGCCTGGGCCTGGGACGCAGCAGCCCCTTTGGCCTGCCTGGTTGAGCCCCTGGGTCCACACTGGGAATTCCCTGCCCTAGTCCGTGTCCCTGCCCATGAGGTGGGCGAGGGTCCTGCTGTCCTGGAATTCCTCCAGAGCTGCACGCCGGGCACAGCGTAAATGCCACTCAGCAAGGCCTCAGATGTGGAGATCTGCGTCCCTGGGCCCCAAGGGGACACAATGGTGGCAGACAGCTGAGCCCAGAGGCAGGGCACTGAGACTGAGCAGGCAGCTGGCCCAGGGTGAGCCCCAGGGACACCCACCATGGCAGTCGGGACTCTGTCCACCTGGCCATCAGAGGGCACAATGCCCCCTCCCCCAGGACGGACCCGTGCACAGCTACCATCCCAGGAACCCCAGACACATCTGAATCTCCAGCTCTGAATCTCGACCCTAATTTATTTCCCTCTGCCCTGGCCAGTCCCTCGCATGCCCAGTCATCCGGCTGGCAAGGGCCCCGCAGCACCAATTCCCTCCCCCAACCAAGGGCCTCCTGGACACTGTGCAGACACCTCCACGGTTGGGGACGCCTGGGGCAGAAATTCTGCCACTGCTGGCCCTGGGGGAAGGATGCTGGGGTGGAAGCAGTTGCTGCCCTAACTTATCTGAGGTGGGAGGCCCATAGGAGCAGAGGGCTCCAGCAGCCCCGCCAGGACTTCCAATCCCAGCCACCCATTCCCTGACCGGGGCCAGTCCTGCTGGCAGGAATCGGCACCACCACAGTGAGCAAAGGCCCTTCTCCATCCTGTGGTCAACCTGTCCTCCAAAGACAAGACCAAGAGAGGGCCCTCCTGGCTCAAACATTCCTCCAGCTGGCCTATGACAGCCCAGGGTGCTCAGCTGCCGCATGGAGAGAGAAGCCGCAGAGGCCTGAGGGTGCTGCCCACTCAACCACCTTGATGCTAGCCCGTTGCTTGCACATGCACACACACACACACACAGACACGCGCACAGGCACGCATATATGTACACACACAAATGTGCACAGGCATGCACATACATATCCACACACAAATGCACACAGGCATGCATATATGCACACAAATGTACACAGGCACACGCAGGCATATGTGCACACACACGAACGCACACAGGCACACGCAGGCATATGTGCACACACACGAACGTACACAGGCACACACATACATATGCATACACACAAACGCCACACAGGCACACACATACATATGCATACACACAAACGCACACAGGCACATATGCATATGCACACACACACAAACACACAGGCATGCGTATGTGCACACAAATGCACACAGGCACACACAAATATGTGCACACACAAACGCACATATGTGCACACACACAAATGCACACAGGCATGCACATATGCACACAGGCACACACAGGCATGTGCACACACAAATGCACACAGGCACGCACATACATATGCACACACAAACGCACACAGGCACACATGCACACACGAATGCACACAGGCATGCACATGCACACAAACACAAACGCAGACAGGCATGCATATGCGTGTACATACACGAATGCACACAGG